GGATCCTGATGATGGATCCTGATGGTGGATCCTGATGGAGGATCCTGATGGCGGCAGTGGATCATGTCGATGGATTGTGGATTATGGTGGCATCTGATTGTAGTGGTGGATCCTGATCGTGGTAGCAACTGATCGTGGACTATTATATCGTCACATATGTCAACTTGATATTAAAATAGATAAAGAGTAAGAAAAAACATTTGAGTAAATATTAAAACACAACAATTTAGCTCAAAATACAAAACCTCGACAGCTTATATAATAATGTATGATAATAGTATCACTAAATGTTTTCAATCGTCTATGTAGCTTTCACCTTCAAATGTAATATATCGAGTGCCACAGGATGTGGCCTGTAATGCTGAAATGAAAAACTCCGACAGTACCTGAATGCAACTAGCAGTAGTAAAGTGGAAACAGTCGATGTCAGTTTTTATAAAAATAAAAACCATCAGGTTCCCCTCGTGCGTAAATGAGTGTCAATTACTCTTATACAGAGAGACCAGATTCATCACGTATCATGTCATGTGTTTTTAATAGTGATAACTTGTTGCTTGTTGCTGTATTAGTTTAAGTAGATTGGTAATACTTGAATACTTTTAGTACACGCCCACTGGGTGGCATGTGTTCCTCCAGTAATCAGTAGTTTTTTCTTGATTAGGATAAATCCAAAATTCAAAGAAATGTCATTGTAAAGAGAGAAGATAGATCTTGTCTTATTTTTTAATCTATTTTTTCCATGGTCACTTTTGGCCAATTGCACACTTTGTTGTGACATCATGACAGATTTGATGTATATAAGATATCCAGTGAAGAAGGAGAACTCTAGCCCTTGCTGTGAGTGCCACAGAAAGAAAAAGAAAACCTTCCTGTGTTAGGTTACACAGATCTCTTTTGTGCTAAACGTCTTCTCATTTTACACTGTGGGCAGATGATTCTCAAAGAAACATTAACAGTGATTAGCCAACTTGCATTATTGCAAAACAGGTCTACACTATAGAGGGAGGCCAGAGGCTGTATCACTGTTCCTCTAACTGGTGGAGGAAACAATCACAAACATGCACGTCACTGCATTCTATATATATTTGTGCTTGTGTAGTGGCCACCTCATAATTTACTGTAAATGCAGACATCCTCATTCTCTTGCTTGTTACGACAGAGGCTGTTTCATCACCCTAACCCTAACCCATGATAAACGTCACTTTTTCTCAACTTTTGCCACTTACTTGATTTGAGGCACTCAAGAAAAGCATTTAGTTTGTTCCAAGTCATTCAGTATTTGTGAATTCAGCAATGGAAAGTTACATCTTCCCTTGAAAACTTGACTTGCTCAAAGCAGTAAAACGTAACCTCACTGTAATCTTTGTGGGATCCACACAGCTGAATCCAGATAAACACCTGGTGAGCAGCCAAGCTGTGGACTTCCAGTAGAATAGAGTTGTAATGCAGAAGGGAAAGTTTTCACCACAGACAGAGACAGGAGGGTGGAGGCAGAGATGGACACTTGGCATTTTCACGTGCCTGTTTGGATCCTTGCCCAGAACTGAAAGATTGTCCTCTTAAAAGCTTCCAGTAGCCAGAGGGGATCATTGATCTGCACTCGCTGCAGGTCTGAGAACCCTGATTAGGTTACTGTAATGAAAAGATGACAGGGGCTATGGCTACCCTGTAGTCATGAAACTGAATTACTCCTAACAAGCATGACATGAAACAGCAGGAAATGTACAGACTGCAAGTGTTGGTGCAGTCGGCTCGTGGAATGCAGAAAGATGCTTCAAGAAGCTGAATGATGCCGAGACCTCTCATCCATTACTGATACCAAAGTTTCATATTAGAAGCCTCTTAGCGCAGTGCTGTCTTTGGTTTAAAGATAATGGTGTGAGCATGGAAATGGTGCACAGTGTTTCTTTATATCTCACTGTCAAAGTGCTTAAATCCATCACACATCAAATACCCAAACATGCATGAGGTATATTCAAAGGTGCACATTAAAGTAAAGGAAAGCACCATGACATGAATTATTCTATGTGATATCTCATACAGCACAACTCTCAGCCTCCTTCACTTCTATTTAATCCCACATGCCCTGGATCTTTAATTTAGCTGGTGAATGGAACTTGTTGCTGCAAATGAAGCAACCAGACATGACCAAAAATCCCTGCGGCAATCATGCTCTGAAACAGGACTCGTCACGTAAACACATCTGTGTGTCTTCTATAAACACAGCACTGCAACATACCGGACACACTGTCAGGACATCAGTAACAGAACACAATGTGCAGTGAGCTGTACTGTAGATCTGTGTTTCTCTTAGATAAGAGGACTAACGCTTTTGAACTAGTAAATTATACTAGTAAAGTGAATGCATAATGGCAGTGCATTATACCTGTGACACATTAATGAGCACAACCAACTGACAGTCAGGGACCGGCTCCTCCAGTTCATTGTGCAGAAGAGAGTCACAACTGGAAAATGTTATTAAGTGGTTGTGTGGTGCCCTCTTGTGGCAGCTGAGGCTTCCCTACACGACATCAACTATCTCAGTATGAAGTCTCCATCCATAAACACACAGAGTATAGCACAGTACTATATTTATTGATCGGATCATTTCCACAGGATTTCAAGGACAGTGAGGTTGACTAATCATATAAATTGTGCTACCAAAAATATTGCTGAATGAAAATGAATTATTTAGACAACAGTGACACACTTAGACACAACAAAGACGTAAAAACATTAGAAAGTACATATGCAAACCACGATTCAACAAGTCCTATACATCACTTAAAACCAATATACAGTACAAGTATATCAAATTACACACAAATATATTACTATAAAATACTTTTAAAACTGCATCCCATTTTGTATAGAGGAACAGGACATAAACTGTTTCTTATCAAAATTATATTTTTGTTATCCAACACGTATAATCTACAAATTCCACTCTTAATTTGTTGTGCAATTTTATCAGAAATCTTCATTAAGGCAGTGATAGGACAGCACCACAGATGCAACCACTAGAGTTACAGGTAGGTAGTATCAAAGGCCACAAACACCCTCCGACAGATGTTACAAATATATTTTCAGAAGAAGACAAACAACGACAGTTTTGGGTAAAAGGTTGCAGGTTATGATCCTTGTTGGCCTTCCTGAGCAGTAGTAGGAAACTTAAAGTGTTGTGTAAAGATTCATAATCCATCAGTGAATAGACCTGGTCTTTAATATCATAAAAAACTTAGCTGATGTAATGTAAATATATTTTTAAATAAGAACCGTATCATAAATACTAACCACAACAATACACCAGTCTTCAGCTCAAAGACGTTCACAGTGACTCTTTGCAAAGCCTCCACAGGTTCTCTTTGCATAGTTAATTGATTTTTCTGATAGCAAATGCATAAAGAAATGAAATCAGTGCGTAAACGATGGCATCTAGTCATTAAGTGAGGAAAAGTCTTACAGTTGCTAACAGAGTGCAAAATCTACACACAGTTTGTTGCCATGGCTACCATATGTGTTCACGAGCACTGTCAGCCGCACAAAGCAGTTTTCATGCTTTTCTGATAGCACTTGCTACCAAGGTTTCTCGTCTGGTGGTCATAAAGGCCTGTTGTTTTTCATAATAGGCCGCTTCGTTAATAAAAGTGGGATAGACGGTGCCGGAGCCCTGGTAGTGGAGGGTCTTCCCGTCAAACGTTTGGAACATCGGGTCACCGGGGTTCAGCGGCTCCCAGTCACCATCCTGGAACAACAGCATGCAAGAATAATAAACTTTATTTAGATAGGCTTTAAATTGTTGTGCTTACATACATAAAAACACAAAGCACATACAGTAGAATTACACATTTAATCAAGTCAATACAAGAAACCATGGCTAAAATAAAGCAATAAAACAAACAAATGTCTTGTTAGAATCCATTTTATGAAACTGTGTTTTTAAAAAGAGACAGGGACTTTAGAAATAGAAAAAAAGCCTTTCTTATCAATTTATCGTACAAATGACAACGAAATCAAGATAAGATGAGACAAATGTATTGATCCCACCATAATGCACAGCTAAAAGGGCCAGTGTGAAAGATCTAAGTGAAAGGGATCTAATGGCAGAAAATGAATATAAAATCATCCTAGTGATGTTTTCGCGAGTGTGTTTCATCTAAATTGTACGAATTGTTGTTTTCTTTACTTTAGAATGAGTCATTTATAAATATATATTCAGCTAAAGATGTTATTCATATCTTCAGGTTCAGCAGGTCAGATATAAGGCTGAGACAGACAAGGCTGGTATAAATCAATTTCCTCTAGTTTTTACCTGTAGATTTGGGTGCACCATGGCAATGATGTTCCCATTGGCATCTCTAGGGTAGTCGATCCTCTCTAAGACCCGGAAAACCTCCACCGTGCAGGGAGGGAACTCCATTCCTAAAAAAATACACAGAAAAACACATTTCCAATATTTCAAGTATCCTAGAAAATCTCATGATGAAAATATGACTTGATGTTGTATTTGTGAGATTGGAGAGTGGGACTATGTGGCAGAAGACACATACTGACTTGATGAAGTTAGAAGATTGAATATTTCATTAAGCATGTTTTTATATTTGTATGTACAGTTCAAAACCAGATACTGCAAATGGCACAAAACAGAGTAGTTTTAGTTACAAGCTGATAAAAGATTTGTTAAAATACACTTTTTTTTAATATATATTTTATGGCATCGTTATTTCATTAAATTAATAAATATAATATATGGCAAAAAAACAGAAACTTTTAAGTTGGAGTCACAACAAGCATGGTATGAAATATAAAGAATATTAATCTGATTTGTATGTGTAAATAATGGAAAATGTATAAGATATAATAAATATTTTATGTTGAAAAAATATAGAGGATATTCAAATTATCCAAAAGGCTGCTGCCTCTTCTAACTTCTACTTGTTTGTGCATATTTGTGTCTAAATTAATCAGCTAGAAGATTTGAAACTGATACATTCATTATCATTTGTTTAAACTAAACACTCATTCTCTTGTAATGTTCTGGGAACAACAAGTGTGACGCTGCCAAAGTAACCTTATTCAAACTCCAGAACTTTAACAGGAAGTGCAGTAGGTGTTTGGCAGAGCTCTGGCATTTATTAAAAAGATGCTCAAATTAGCTCGTAAGTGTTCAACCATTGAGCTGTATTGAAATGCAAGTGGCAGCATAGAATAAAGAAGACTAATGTTCCAATGGTCACCACAGCTTTCCCACTCATCCATATGATTTTTCTCAGTAAGTTGCTCTTCGTCTGCTAAATGAGTTGTTTCTTCACGCTGCTCAGCTTTAGAACGCAGGAACACCCGATTCATTGCCGGGCCAAAGCATTCATCAGCACCAGTGTGGCCCAACGACAGAAGATTACAACAGCATTGGCAGCCAGACTCTAACGACATGGAAACTGACCAACTCCCAACAAGCAGGCCATTCAGCAGCAGGCCGGTGAGGGGAAACCAACAGGCCGCAGCTCACACTTGGCACACACATGCCTGTTTACGTAAAAAGAGGAAGGAAACGCTGCCTTGCACCGCAACCTTGCACCGCAACCTTGCAAATGCTGTTCCTGGCCTCAGGGAAAAGATGGGGCAGAGTGGAGGCGTGATGATGAGCCACAGGCACCTGAGCGTACGTGCATCTGATGAATCAGGCAAGCGACCAATTTTGTCACAGAATGTTACTTGACAAGCATGCTCACTGAGTGTAAACAGATTATTTTGGCATTACATAACAACATTATGAAACATAAGATTTGTCATCTTCAAGTCAAAGTTCTAGAGAAACATTTCCTACTTAGTGTGCTTGAGTTTTATCTGCTTTGGCATTAAGCCTTAAAAATCTGTTGAATGCAATGTACAGAATGTGTGGTATGTTATAGCTTCAGGTGTCAAAGCTGCTGTGGTATGTCTATCCTACCTTCATTAAACAGTTCGATGAAGTCCAGGGCATGTTTCAGTATCACCCTCATAGCTTCAAAGATGTTACTCCTCAATACACCTTGAGGCTGAGGACCCACCTCCAGACCTGGAATTGAACAATCAGGGGACAGAATATTTATACATGTGAAATTATAATCTAACAACTGGATGGAATGTTACATTCATATGTTACATATTTTGTTCATTGTTCAGAGGTGATGCTAAAGGGGGGATCAGGGGTGGCACAGGCCCCTGAATGTGACTGGTACTTTTGTGTGTAATACCATTATCACTGTAGTAAATCAACAGCCTTAATTTTCTTCAAAGGCTCAGTTCAGCTCTGAATACAAAACAATACAAATTCAAAAGTAAAACATAATTGTTATTTCAGCTGCTGCCTTCATGCAGGCTGAGTGGTCAACATGGAGAAGCCCAACTGATCTATCAAAGCCTGGTGAAGTTGTATCTAAAGTAGACATTTAAGTGTAAAAGAGATGAGTGGAGCGTTGGAAAGAGGAGCAGAGGAAACTCGCTCCCGAAGATGGAACACCTCTGTTGCCTCAGTTTTAAATCATCACCTACGGAGCGAATACTTATTTCGCGGCTCGGGTTGCATTTATCTGTCTGAACTAAAGATGAACTGAGCCTGACCTGAACAGTAGGCCTGTTGCAGTTTATATAAGCTGCACTGAGTTTGTGTTAACCTGTCCCTCACACACATGGTTATTGTTTGGGTTATTGTTTGTTTTAAATGTTGTCACTGTGACACAAAAGGTGGAAACACAAGTTGTTACGGCACCAAAGCCAGCATGGGGGCCAGTGTAGCACATCGCACACACATAGACATGACAAGTAAGGGATGATAACATATCATGAGACAGGACAGGCTTCTCCTCCCAAAACTTGAAGTAAAGTAATACAGTGATATACCATCACCATCTAAAAAGTGAAACATTCTGTGATATTGATTTTAGATCAGAATGCCCACCTCTAATGGGTATCCACCACCAGTGTCAGAAGGTGATAGGAGGTGGGTTTATTATTATAATGGATGAATTACTGACTGAATGCACCAGGTACAGGCCCGGGGGTCCTGTAAACGTGTTTATACTTACATAATCTACCCGATTCAAATAGCAGCTACTCATTGATATTTTGAAGTCTGTAATATGGTATTCATTCATTTATAAGAACCAAACTTCAGTAGAGACATTTTGTTTGTGTCCCAGTCCCCCCCCCCCCCCCCCCCCCCCCCCTCCTCTTCCTCGCCCTCTTTCACCCTCACTGCGTCTTCCCCACAGAAATTTGGCTTGACTTGAGAGACTCACCAACAGGGTGCTTGGCCACAGAGCGTGAAGTGGAATACTTTAGAAGGGGATGTTCATTCAGCAGAACAAGACAACTTGCTGGAGCGATGGCTTTCTGGAAAATCAAAACCAACAAAAACACAAGATCTCAGCTGCAGATAAAAAGTAAAAAAAAAAAAAGCTTCAAGACAGTCACATGCTGCACAGCAGCCAGCTGTCCTGAGCAGACCAGACTGTGAGTGACTGCTTTACGTTCTGCTCGACAGAATGGAAAATTAAATCTGCAACAGCTCACCAATATGACACAGATGATAAACAAACACGGTGAACGTTTGCATGAATCAAGTGGTGGACTCACAGAGCTGCCAGTGGAAAACCACAAAATACATCTTGATTGCACAAAAACATGTTCTGCAACAAACACTTCCGGACTCTGATTCATGTCTCTGCCATTTATCAGGGGATTCTTTGTCAAAAATAAAACTGGAACCTGTATGTGGTTCAGTTAAGAGTAGATAATTTAGATAATTTGCCTTAAGACAAGGACATGCATCATCATGAAACGAGCCCTTAAATCATTGATGTCTGAGTTTCTGAACAGAGGAATGATTATCGACACGTAAGTGTCAGTGAGAGAACTCAAAGTTCAGTTCGTTATCGGGCAAGTAATGAGTCATTCAACAACTGACTTTGGTTATAACACACTGAGCCTGTAATGAAGTCAGTCTTCTATCATGTTGTATCTGAGAAGCAGTGTGTATTTCCGTGCTCTGGTGCTCACAGAGAGAGTGTGTGCAGCGTTTGGCTCCTCTTCTGCTTCCTGGTGTTACTCTGTTTGTCTTTTGTTGCCTATGTTTTCCCCTCTGTCCATTTTATTTATTTCTAAGCAAGATTACAAGATAACACAAAAACAATTGAGCGTTTTACCGCAAAACTTAGTCGAATGATGTGGTAAAGGAATACTTTCTTTAAAGGGATAGTTCACAAAAAAATTAAAATTCACCACAATCTTCTCACCACTATGCCAAAGGAGGGGTGGGTGAAGTGTTTGAGTCTACAAAACACTTTAAGAGCCTCAGGGGTAAAAACGTGTTGCCGCCTAGGTCACCTCTTCTTCAGAGGTAATAAAACAACAGAAAAAAACACAACATGCCTCCAAACTGCTCGTGTGGTGTCATCAAAGTGTCCACAAGCCACGACATTCATATTCGACCAGAAACGAGGTCATTTACACCAACAAAGTCCAGTACCGGAAGTGGAGATGCTAGAGGACATTGCGATGCGAACGCGCACCCCATGCGTACCCTTGGGTGAGAGTTTGTGCGGTTTTCTGGTGTGTGTGTGTTTGTACGTGACTGCGCCCCTGAGGAGGATAACAGGCATTTGGAGGCATGTTCCAACACTTCCATCGGCATAGTGTGAACTATCCCTTTAACTATACCTTTTTCGTAAGGAGACTGTTATGAGTTATGCTTTCTGCTGGGTGCCATTCTAGTTTATGTTGAAATGGAAGAAATGAAACCAGAGCCACTAGTAGACTTAGTACATTATATTTGATCTGTGATAATACATAAGATACGATTATAAAATAAGTAATGATACTAATCTGACAATTACATTACCTTTGCTAATAAAGTTATATTTTCCCCCCTGTCTGATTATTTGTTTGATTGTAAACAGAATTACACAAAACTACTGAAGGGATTACTCTGAAACTTGGTGGAATGATAAGGTATAGGTCAGGGAAGACCCCATTACACTTTGGTGAGGATACAGATCAGGGGGCAGATACTTAATCATTTTTGTAAATTTCTCAAGAAATAATGCAAACATCTGCATGAAAATAAAACACACTCTCTGAGTGCCCTTATGGTTGGCATTGGAATAGGTTATATACTAGAGAAATAAGTATAAGTACCATCTGTGAGAAGGCCCTGAACACTTGTGTGGTTGTAAAACAAAA